TGGATGGGGTTCGCCTTCCACATGACATGGGATTAGCACCAGGCGCAGCAACTTTCCGCACAAATGCAAGAAATGTGATCGTTTGTTGCCATCCATTCCTTCAACTGCTGTTTGGACATTGTATATGCCTAATCCCAGGTGGTACCTGCACGGGGGAGTTTGTGCGACAGCAGTAACCTCTCTGGTGGGTTTGGTACATCCGAACATCCACATTGTATGGAGGAAGAAAGTCCCTGGGAGTGGGCCTCCCTGCCCCTGACGGTAGCATCGATGGGTTCCAGGCGTTGGCCAGAGGCATCATACCAGTCTTGAAGGGCTAAGAACTGTTCGTGTGCAAAAAATTCAATGGCTGGCCCCGAGAGAAAGGCTACTTCGATGAATCTGAGGTTACACTGTGTGTGTATGCGGGAGGCAGGCAGCTCATGCTTGCTTTTGGATGTGCGTGGCGTGATGGCAAGGAGTAACCCAAAAAGGATTTGTAGGTCTGTGCCGTCGTCGGCTGGAGCATCTTCGGTGCCTACCATTGCAACAAGTCTTCCCGTGCCTATAGGGCTAACTTTGTGGTGGTGTGCATCGCTCGCTAGGAGGCTGAAGACTTCAGTTTTGCCGAGGCTCGGGTGTCGGAACGCAAATGCATCTTGCCCCCCTTTGACTCTCCAGTGACCAAACTCGCTGCCCTTGAAAAGAAATTCGAATGTAATTGGTTGCCATGGTTGACGGATAGGTCCAGCACTTTGCATTGTGAGCCCTGTCTCATTATGGCCTTCATTGGGATTGGGGCTGAGCATTGGCAGATAATAGTCTAGCATGTAGACAGCCATGGGCAGTTGCAGGGTGCCGAGGAAGTGTTGGACCATGGTGGTATAGGTGAGCAATTTGGCCCTTGACGCAATGGTAACAGTTGCCAACGAGGCCAAATACTGAGTTGCCTCTTGCTCCGTTTGTACCAATGAGTTGTGCACGGCGATGTGGTTGACTAGTGCCTGTGTTGTGGTCTCAGGCAGCTCGCACATAATGGCTAATTCGCGCAGGAGTCGTTTGGCTGTTTTTGGGAGCTCGAAGCTGCACCATGATATCAGGCGGAGGGGAGCTTGTGAGTAAACCTCAAAGGGAAGCACACCTGGGGTACCCTCTAACTGTGCCATGTCCGGTCGTCCCTCTGGAAGGGCAACTCGTGTCCAGTGCGAATAGCTGTGTTGTGCAGTGCCTAGGTATGCTCGCCATCCTGTGATGTGTGTGATTGCAAAACCCCGTTGCTGAAGCAGTTTGATGTCTTGGTTAGACGGGTTCCATACGCAAAGCCGGTCATCTGCATGGTGGATGAGGTGTACCTGTCGGAGCTGGGACAGTCTGTGTGCCGTCAGAAGCGATGGTGGCAGAGCAATGGCTGCTAGCACGGTTTTGCCTTCAATATTTGGGAATTCCGTAAGGATGGTTTCCCATACCATTCCTGCATACGAGCCAGCGCTGTGGCCTCGAATGAAAAGAGAACCTACCATGTACCCTGTTGATCTGAGATACTCTACTGGACGGATTTCAGGGGGCAGGCACACCCCGACCAACGGATGCGCAACTAGTAGTTTAGTAAAGAGTCGCAGGCCATGCGTGTACCCTGGCCATGGCGGTTTCCTATGCGCCGGGGTAATGGGACAGAAGCGCAGCAATTTCATGGCACGACTGATGATCTGTGCTTGTAATTGGTCAGCGTCGCGCACTCCAAGGACACGGCACCAGGTGTGCGCACCAATTGGAAACATGGCTATGTGCAGCAGCAAATATTCTTGTGTGTGGGCAGTTCCTGCAATTGTGCCAGCTCTTGCATTCCAATCGTCCTGTTTGCTGAGAGATGGTCCATACACATGTGCTTCCTTTTTGCAAGCTAGCAGTACATCCCACTCTTCATCGAGTTCTCCTCCACCCAATCCAGTGCACTGAACATCCAGGGACCCTGGGTCAGCGTCATTGAGTTGCCAGGTGGTGTTGTCCATGACAATGATCTTCCATTCAGTGTATTGAGGGTCTGCATGGCTAGCAAGAACTTCGTTGATGGCCAATTCTGCGTTGCTGGGGTCAATTCCCAGTCGTTGTTGCAGTGCTTCTAGGAGAGGGAGAATTTGGGCAGTAGGCAGTTGGAGGCTAGCTTGCTGTCCGCAAAAGACATGGGCAGTCTGGCAGGTCTTAGGCCAGGGTGTGTGGTCGTTATTGCAGTTAGGGGCCTCCACTGAAGCAGCAACACCTGCGTCTTGGTAAGGCTGCGCTTTTGTGAGACATGTGGCCTGGCTACTATTTACTTCCTCTGACGAAATCGCAGCCTGTGGGGTGTGTCCATAGCGGGGGTGCTTCATCAACTCCTATGAGTGAAACAGCAAGCGGTTGCAGCCCTTTGCTTTGCCACTGTTGGAGCTTTTGCCCCAGGCCTACTTTGCTCCCATGGAAGGCATGCACTATTGGCGGCAGGCTATACCCATTGTCTAATTCCTTGCTTTGAAACAATTTGTCCCCTGGGAGGCAGAGTATGGGGAAGTCGGCTGGGAAGACAGACATGGGGGAGAGTGCACCTTGCTCGAATATGGGGCGCGCCCAGGTGAGGAAAGGCGGGGTTCGCTCGACAAAGTCCGGTCGTAAGTAGCGACCATCTCCATGACGCGGCCATTCTCCTTGCTCCGGGATAGGGAATGCAATGGTTCCAGCCCATTCACCTAGCATTGCCCAGGCATGTGTCCAGTCAAGCGGGGTTCTGGCCTTACATCCTAGTAAAGGGGTGAGAACTAGTCCGCCTCTTATCGCTTCCGCGGGGTCTTCTGGCACGGCTGTAGTGGCTAAGAAACTGGCTCGGCTGTTATAAAGCGCGGTGACCCATTCGTCTGCCGATCTGCTATTGGCAGAGGGGGCTATTCGCCGTGCTTTAGGGGCAGGTGCATCACTCGAGGAGGAGCTTGGGGCATCAGTCGGTGGCATGCACACATCTGGGGTTGCTTGGCCCATGTCGACATCTGCTGCACAGGTCGGGATATGCCCTGTAACAATGATCAATCCGGCATTGAGCTCGGCTTTGGCTTCGGTAGTAAGGAGGACTGCCGGCGGGCACTGGCTAGAACTGGCCATAGTAGTGTGTTGCATTGCTTCGGCTCTGCTTGCCTTATCCGTCATGAGGTTGACCAGTTCGGCTATCTCGAAGAGTGAGGTCGGCACGCAATCAGAGTCTATCAGTGCAAAGTTTACAGTGGGAAACACTAAGCACAGCGCCTCTAGAGCTGCAGCACCAGCCCAGGTATAATGGACCTGATGCAATCCTGTATCAGCGTTTATGGGAAAATGGATAGCAGTTGTTTTCTCCCGATAGGGGCCAGTAACTGTACATCTGCCTTTGATCCATGGTGCAAAATGTTGCCAGTAGGCAGGGGGATTGGTGCCTGACAGCGTGCGGTTGTCCACAAAAACATAGACAGTGTCATACTGCGGTACCCATGAGAGGTTATCTACTATCCACTGAAAGAGTGTCCTATGATGGACCTGGCTGGCTGCGGGGCGGCGGATTCCATTCCCTTCGTCCACCATGATGGCTGGGTATGTCAGGGGTGACCGGGGCATTCGACGAGAGCCGACATCGGCCCACTTCCACTTTTGCTTGATGTCGTCCATGCCGAGTGGAGTTTCAATTTCTTTTTCTGACAGGAAGAGTTCATCAAGTTGGTGGCTTATCTGTAAGACCCCCTGGACATTGGAGAAATCTATAGGCGCGGCAATTTCCCACTCCTCTCTTGGGGGAGGCTCAGCTCCTTGTAGGAAGTAGGGAGTGTCATCCTCAGCCTCTAGGGCGTCAAAGTAAACCGATTGGTCACTGTCAGCTGACGCATCCTCGCCTGTTTTTTCTGTGATGTTTGGTCCCGTTAGTTCAATGTCTGTATCTGAGTCGTCAGGGTCATCCGACGCCAATGAAATGAACCTATTTGGTGTCATGAGCTGTTGTAGCATGCTGGCGTGGGCGTAACCCTGAACAACCGGTACCTGGTGTCAGGTTCCCAGTGAACAACAAGGACTAGTGAATACTGTCAAGGCGGTAGAGTTCAAAATGTGTCCAATGAATTAGCAAAGCTAGGGAGACCCCGAACACCCGGTACCCGGGGTCCGGGTTCCTCGTTGCAGGGCCGATTCAAGTGGAGTTGAAAGAAACCAAAACAATCGGAGCTTGTTTATCACCTTGATGTGCGAATTGAGTGGCTTATGGCTGACCTAGCTATAGAAACTAGTAGAGCCGCAAAAGCTGCAGTGAAGACACATTATCCCAGTACAGGTGTCAGATGCAATCTTCACTAAACACAGTAGGGGTTAGTCCCAATGGAGCTTAGATGACCGAAGACGACAGGACCTGGGACACACGCCTGACCAAAACAGCAAGAGTACCCAAGTAAAAATCCCCTTACTCTGGCTTGTGGGGGTCAATTTTAAGTTGGTACGCTCCCATAAGGTCTAAAAGTTTGGGGGGTAACACCCTGGCACGCAACTGCTTTTCTCTTGGCGCATCTGTGGGGTAGGCGGCGATGGAAGACGGCTCTGATCAGGTGATTTCAACACAGCCATGTGCACTCCGTGCTAGCTGGCTGCAAATTCACTCAGTCAATGATTTCCATTACTATATCTGCCACCGGCGAAGCCTGCGGAGTGCCTGGTGCCTGGCCATCTTGTATTGTTTTGAGGCGTTTCGTGATACGCGACAGGTTCTGGCGAGCACTGGCTAACCGCGTTTCGTGAAAAGCCACTTTGTCACTGGCTGCCCTCTGCATGTTCTGCAATGTCGGGATGTCCGCTTCGGCTGTGTCAACTTCCTGACTGGCTTCACAGGCGGGCTCAGGGCTCCTAGCAACAACAGTGTCAGTGGCTTGCGTGTCTGGCGACCCCTTTTGGATCCGTCCCTGTCGACATTCTGGACAGAGCATTCAGAACGTGCAACACTCCCAACTGGGTTAGCACTCTTGAGAACTGCAAAAGAGGAACGTGACATGCTAGGTCGTTGGAAGCCTGACGGTTCGGACACGTACATCAGGATGTACAATGGTGTGGTTGCGAGGCTCCAGCAACAATACGCAAAAGCTGTACGGGTAAACAACAGGACTGGACTCTTGGATGAAAGAGATGTCATCGAAAGTGCAATGTCATGGCTCACTGACCGATGTGAACAGTTGCCTGAGCATCAGGTACAATTGATCATTTCTCACTTGGAGGATTCTATGCGCTGGCAGGTTCAGCCTGGTTGGGAGTTGACTGGACAGGTCGAAGAAGAAGATGTGCCGGAGGACACACAGTCGGTGCCCAATGCACAGCCTTTGCAGGTTCAGAAACAGCAAACGGAGAAAGAAACTAGGAAACCTTTGTATGTTGTGGTGAACAGTGGTAGGCGTTGCAGACGCTTGCACAAGAGTCAAGGTGGTTGCTGGATGGGGCGTGAGATGTCCTTCAAGTCATCAGTAGAGTTTTACCAAATGCCAGAGGAGTCAGCATACTCACATGTCTGTAAGGTATGTTGGCCAAAAACCAGCGTGACGGAGGCACTTGAAGGTTCTTCACCCTCGTCATCAACCTCGAGCTCGGACAGCGCCTCAAGCTCGGAAGATCAAGAGGGAACTGATTAAGTTGCATTAGGAATCAGTTTTGCCACCGCTGTGGAGTCTTGTTTTGGATGGACACAATTGTTGGGATGTTTCACAGCTTTGCATGGAAGTTTGGCAGGGTGCAGAGTTTTGATAACCAGTTTTTTCCTTCACGTCAACCTAATAAAAGAGCTTTGTTTCCGGAAACGTGCAACTGCTATGGTCAAGATCAGTCTCTAAGAGACCGGGATCCGAGTTTGTGCCCAAAAAGGGGGAGCCTGGAATATCAGCGGGCCGGTTAAAAGCCTTGCACAGCAAGCCGGATCGCAGAGAGCCTACCGAGACAGTCCGGTAGGGCATGTTTGATTGTTTGACTGGGATTCTCTGGCAGGTTAGGTTCTGAAGTTTAGATGCCTTAATTTGACATGTTGTTTTAGGAGGGCAATTTGAAAGAGTGGAGTTGTATCGGTTGAGAAGATTGCAAGAACATGAGAGATCCGCAGATCCTCCGGAGTTCAGGGCTCAGCGACGAACAAACGTAGCTGTGCAGGAAATTTGAAACAAACGGATTCAAACGGCAGATTCACTAGGGTTGAGTTTTATCTTGCACCATGTTTCACTCACGCATTTTTCCACTTCACTTGGAAAGAGGTTGTTGTGGATTGTTTTTTCAGCATTTCCCACGCACGTGCACCATGGCGGGACCAATTGCGAGAGAGGATGCCCTAAAAAGGGGTGGAGCTGACCTCAGATTTACATTGTCTCGAAACGATGTTACAGATGATTTGCAAGCTGCTTTCTTTACGAACGGCATTACAACAGTTCAGAAGTTTTCATCCTTCTTCAGATCAGAAGAGGACCTTATTCAAGTCATGAAGGATTCTTTTGCAACAGATGCAGATGATGGTCTGGAAGCACGGGCGCAGCTGGCCTCAGTGATTTGCGCTTGGAGAGAGACGCAAACCAAACAAAAGAGACAAGCAGAGGTTGAGGCTGAGATGGACACACGTGAGTGGACGAAGCCAATACCTACAGGTGATTACATCAACCTACGGAATGCATTCATGAGGGCTCATGGAAAGGTTGAAGATAAGGTAACACCATCGAAAGAATACCTTGAGAAAAAACTGCAAGAACTTGAGAACGGTGAATTCCGTGCTGAACTGCTGTCGGAGGTAGTATCAAAAGACGAAGTTGACCCGGACATCATGGTGCCGGTCTTTGACTCCAAAGGGTCGCTCTCAGTGAAGAAGGGCACAACGACGGTGGCGCTCCCGACGGGACCTGAGCAACTTAGGAGACGGCTTACAGTGATGTTGCATTGTGTCATGATGCTGGCATTGAAACATACAAACCGTGAAGAGATTCAAGACATGAGCCGCGACACCATGGAGCGCTACAAGGATTACATCCTAGGCGATTATGTCTGGGGCCTGTCATCGACTGACCTTCAGGGAAATCAGATACAGACGCCGCCTTGGAGTCTTGTCCTCAGCTATGAGCATGCAGTGCGGAAGCGTGCATACAATTTGATGGTCACGGAACATTTGAGAATTGGAGCTGCTTTGGAACAGGCATGGAAATGCCCGGTCACAAAGGAACGTCACTTCATCACGCCCTTGGCCCTCTACAGCAAACGTTCCAATCCAAGTGCCTCTTGGGGAGACTGGAACCTAAAAGGGAAAGGAAAGACAAGCAAGGGGCAGAGCAACAAGGGAAAATCGAAGGGCAAGGGCACAGGCACGGCACCGGATGGTTCCAAGATCTGCTTCAGGTTCAACCAGGGGAAATGCAGCTATCAGAAATGCAAGTTTGCGCATCTCTACAATCGATGTTTCAAGAAGGGTCACAACGGCTTGAACTGCAAGGAAGACAAGGCGCCTTTGGACACAACCGGATCAGTCTGACCTACGGATACAAAGAGGCACAACGATGGAGGACCAGCCTCCTCAAGGAGGGTTTGCAAGGTCCTTTACATTTTTTCGGGGAAGCCGAGAAAGAATTCAGTTTCATCATGGTTGCGTAAGTTAGCAAAGCGTTTTGACGTGACTGTGGAGGTCGAAATGGTGGACATACAGGTGAAGCCACATTTAGACCTAACTCAGAAAGCAGTCCAGGAGCGGTTGCTAAGCAAGATAGCGTCTGGGGAATATTTTGCAGTGCTCATTAGTCCACCCTGCAGCACTTTCTCCAGGGTGACATGGGCAAACAAGAGAGGACCTAGGCCGGTCCGTTCTTACGTGTGGCCGAGGGGTTTCACACGCCTTTCCTGGACAGAGCGGAAGAGAGCAAACTGGGGCAACATCATGGCAGATTTTTCCTTTTTGGCTTTTGCAATGCAGATGAAACATGTACATGTCATGGCACTTTTCGAGAACCCGGAGGACTTAGGTGCCATCAAGTCAGGTCAGAACTTTGGCAAGAGACCGGGCAGTATGTGGCAATTTCAACAATTTTCTGAAGTGTTGCAGCAAGAACAGGTGACGACAGCGGCTTTTTATCAGGAAGATTTTGGAACAGATTACCTTAAACCCACGAGACTGCTCTTGGGGGGGTTTGCACAGCTGCCGCAACACTTTTTGGAAGGACCACCAGTTTTTGATGACCAAGGCTTTTATGTTGGACCATTGGTACAACGCTCTGCAAAGCGTCAACTGGTCGGAACACTGGGTGATAGGTTTGCAACGACCGGTTCAGAACAGTGGCCATCAAACATGTGCAGATGGGTTGCAACGTGCATTTTACAACAGTTTTCCTTTTTGCATAATACTTCAACTGCTGCCCTCGCTGACGAAGGGGTCCATTCAAAGGACTCGGACAGACAGAACTATGAGGTTTTGAAACCAGATGGCAGGAAGGTAGCAGGGGGGCTTGGGAGCCCCCGCAAGTGTCAGCCACCGGGCAAAGACCGGTCCTTTCATGATGGAGCTGGACTCCTGTCAATGGGGAGATGGGATGTGGAGCAAAGGATATGGAGCAAGGGTGTCTTTTGGGAAAGGTTGAGAAAAGGAACGATTGAGTTGATAGAGAAGCACTTGGGGGATGAACGAGCTTTGGACAGGGCTTGCTTCGAGATGGCAGTACGAGGTGAAGCAGGGTGCAATATTGTGCGCGACGAGAAGCTCAAGAGCGACATACGCCTTTTCTGGATTGACCTGCTGAAACAGCATGGGTCGAAACAAGAGGGATTGGACCATGTGGCCCCGGGGCAACCTTTCCACCTTAGACTCATGAAGGAGTTGCTTGCGTTTGGAGAAGATGCAGACAGAGAATTTTTGATGCAGGGCGAAGTGGGTTATCCTGTTGGTGTCCTGACCCCTTTGCCCAGGACGCCGCACTGCTATGAAGAACAGACAGCTTGGCGCTTAGAAGACGACCCACACATGCAGGAGGAGGTCTGGCGTTCCAACTACCAATCGGTAGGGGAACATGTACAATTTGTGCGGGAGCACTTCACGGAGGAGTGTGCGGAAGGCTTGATGGAGAGACTCACACTGGAACAGGCGAAGACCAGATTTGGAGACAAGATCGCAATCTCCTCACTTGCGGTGCTGGTGGAGCAGAACCACCAGGGGAAGAAGAGGGTGATTCATGACGCCACCCACGGGACAAAACTGAATAACAGGATCAGATGCCGTGACAAAACAAGGTCTCCCAGTGCGAGAGAGAAACAGTACCTCTTAGCATACTTCCAGGAGAATAAGCGCTCAGTCTTCAGCTTGGTGGGTGACATAAGTAAGGCCCACAGGCGCTTCCTCCATGCTCCAGGAGAACGCGGTTTACTGGCCTGCAGAGTCTTGGACACCGACGACCACATATATATAAACAATGTTGGAACTTTTGGATTGGCTTGTGCCTCATACTGGTGGGGCCGAATTGCAGGTGCAGGGATCAGACTGGTGCATGAGCTCCTGGGGCCACAAATGCCGGTGGAGCTGCTACTGTTTGCAGACGATCTGGAAGCTTTGGGTGCGAGTGCGGGAGGCAGGAGAGGGATAACCCTTGCCTTCCTTTACATGTCTGTTTTGGGCTTCCCTTTCAAGTGGACAAAGCAGAGCTTAGAGTGGAATGGATTGGACTCTTCTCTGACGCGCTGGATGCACGATTGGGTGAAGGAGCTTGCAGACACCGGCACAACAACTGCAAAGAACTTCGAGCAGGGGCTGGGCCGCCTTGGCTTCGCGGCCATGGCCTTAACATGGGAGAGGCCCTTTTTGGGGCCTCTTTATAGCTGGTGTGCGGCCGTCAGAACAAAGCGTGGAGCCCTGCGGGTGCCTGCAATGTTGAGGACCATTTTGCGTTTTTTGGCAAAAAGGTTTTTGGCTGGTGGTGACTTGCAATGCCCGCCTCCACTCAAACGACAGGAGGGCGAACAGGTTATCTTTTTTACAGATGCCAAGGCCACAGAAGAATCAGCATGGATAGGGGGCTTCAAGCAAGGTACAGACGGAAAGGTGCTGGCATGGTTTTCTGAAGAGGTGCCGCTTTCCTGGGCGCCGTGGTTGAAGCTTAAGAGGGATCCTAAGAGGATAATTGCAGCCTTGGAATTACTAGCCAGTCTGGTGGCGGTGAAACTGTGGATGCAGCCGGCGCAGCAAAGCTCTGAGGCCGTATGCTGTTTGAGGGGCAAAACGGATAATCAATCCAACACCTACGCCTTGACGAAATGGATGAGCACGAAGTTTCCCCTTACAGTTTTTATCATGGAGATCTCAGAGTCTTTAAGACTTGGACGCTGCAATTTGACGCTTGACTGGGTTCCGCGTGAATGGAACCAACTGGCCGACGATCTCACGAACCAGAAGTTCGACAAGTTCTCTCTGCAGGACCGCATCAGGTGGGATCCGTTTCAACAAGAGTGGCTGGTATTAGAAGAATTTATGGTTCATGCAAACAGTTTTCATGATGAGATGAGAAAGAGGAAATCGGAGCCTCAGGTTCAAATGCCCAGGAAACGAAAGAGAGTTTCTTCCCTCAAACCTTGGTGAACGGCCGACCTCGGTACCTAGGGGCTCAATCGCTCGGTGGCCCGTTTACTTGGCCAGCGTTTGAGCAAAGAAATAAAGACAGGTTGTGGTAGCCAACACAAATAAGTGAAAGGTGGAAAAAAGGGAAGATTAATAGATTTGCATCTCACGAGTGAAGCCGTCGTATATGATTTATTTGTATATTATTTTTATTATACCGTGGCGATAGCCTCACGTGTTTTTCTAAGTGGCGCCGGCGTTTGGATTTTATAATAAGAATTTGAATTGGAATTGACAATGCGCAAAGAAACGCGTTTTTGCTCTCTCTAGAAGGGAGGGTTTTGGGTGGATTTCCTCTTACGTAACTAGTACGCAATCGCGACGTGTTGCGACTGTGTATTCGGACGTAAGATCCCTTCTGCGCACGCTAGGGCCGTCTCTATGCTCCTAAGCGTTGCCCGGTAGGAACTACGCGTTCTTTCTCATCTGGTCTTTTCCTTGCCTCTCTTACGCTGTCACGCGTACTGCGGTTGCTTCCCCCGCCGGTCCTTTGCGGAAGTGATTTATGGGAAGTAACTTGGAAGTGAGTTGAACCCAAACCTGACAAACTCCAAATGTATTTTACTCAACTGTTTTAATGGAGTGTTGGTTTTGGTTCCGTTTCTCACAAGGACTGTTTATAACATCCCTCGGGAATAGGGTTTTATGATTTTTGGATTTGAATTTTTGAAGCCGGAATTCAAGCTTCAAATATTAATGCTGCTGCAGTACATCTCTCATCTATATTATGTCCATGATATTTCAGTGGATCAAGTTTTTGGGTTGGTGCTAATTTTTGTAGACCACCCACCCACGACCTGGGGGCTCAATCGCTCGGTGGCCCGTTTACTTGGCCAGCGTTTGAGCAAAGAAATAAAGACAGGTTGTGGTAGCCAACACAAATAAGTGAAAGGTGGAAAAAAGGGAAGATTAATAGATTTGCATCTCACGAGTGAAGCCGTCGTATATGATTTATTTCTATATTATTTTTATTATACCGCGGCGATAGCCTCACGTGTTTTTCTAAGTGGCGCCGGCGTTTGGATTTTATAATAAGAATTTGAATTGGAATTGACAATGCGCAAAGAAACGCGTTTTTGCTCTCTCTAGAAGGGAGGGTTTTGGGTGGATTTCCTCTTACGTAACTAGTACTCCAAAGTGCAAATGGAACAGGTGTTGCGTGCAGACAGGGAGTTATTCACGCTGATGGCCCAGGAACATACTGGACCCTTTGTCAGCGGGCCCGAGGGTGAACTTCCACTGGACCTACTCATGGGGCAGCTTTCACATGACCCTCGCATCAGTATGCACCTACTGCCTCTACCCGCAAGTTCATCAAGAGCTGCACCAAGCCATTCAGTCGATGATGGAAATCGAAAGACCGGGGCGGGGCCGCCTAAGCCGATCAACCCGAGGAAAAAGGCAAAGCCATCGGGAAAAGCAAAAGCAGGTTGTCCTGCGGAGCTGAAAGGCTATCATCAGTTCGATGACAACGGCCAACCCATTTGTTGGGCGTTCAACATGAGCAAAGGATGCAGCGAAGAGACGAAAGATGGCCGTTGCAAAAAGGGCAGCCACATTTGTATCAAGTGCAAGAGGAGCAACCACAGTCTTGTGACGTGTCGTGTTAAGAAATCCTGACTTAAGACAGGTGCAAAGGGAGCAATGAAGATGCGGCAGCGACGCAAAAATCCCGACAGTGTCAGTGCATGTGATGTGGATGCATTGCAACAGGTTTCACAACAGGTGTCAAAGCGACCACGTTTGGATGCCAAAGGGGTATCACCACCACCGGTCCAAGATGGACCACCTGTTTCACTTGATGCGGGCCAACAGAATGTCTTAGACAATCAGATTGGTGAAGAAGTTCAAGAAGAACCAGCCGCAGTTTCAAATAGACCGCCTTGCTCGGACGTTCAAGATGCCGAGACGAAAAATTGTTGTGGTCGCAGTTGTTTAGACGAAGTGATGGTGCTTGAAATCTTTGCGGGTACTGCAAGACTGACCCGTGCCATACGAGACATTGGCATGGCAGCAATGGCTGTCGACAAAGACAGCACACGTGCGCAATCAGTGCATGTGGCGTGCTATGATCTGAACGACCCAGATCAACTTCAAGCCCTTTGTGATTTCATTTCGAAGCACCATCATCAAATTTTATGGGCGCATTTTGCGCCATCATGTGGCACTGCCTCAAGGGCGCGAGGAAGACCACTACCAAAGTTGGCAAAGTTGGGAATCAAAGTGCCCCAACCACTTCGGAGTGACAAACAACCCCTAGGCCTAGATGGCCTTGCTGGGACAGACAAGATTAAGGCCGAGACTGCAAACATAACCTATGACAGCACTTGCTTACTGGTCAGGCTATGCCATAGCTATGCAATTGCTGTGTCGCTGGAGAATCCCGAGAATTCTTTGTTTTGGAAAATTCCTGTGGTTATTTTGCTTCTGGAGGAGCTTGGAGGTCATATGACCTACTTTGACAATTGCTGCCACGGTGGTACGCGGAAAAAAGGAACAGCATGGTGGAGCACAGTTGATTGGTTCACATGTTTGGCTGCCCGATGTGACGGGTCTCATTTTCATCAGAAATGGAATGCAGAATTGGTTGATGGAAAAGTTCTTTTTCCCACTCACTTGGAAGCAGCTTACCCTGTTTTATTGTGCGCACGGTTGGCAGCGATCGCAAAGATCAAAGCAATAGACATGGGTGCAGTCGAAATTCAAAACCTTGAGCAACAAACACAACATGCACCTTCATCTCAACACAGAATTTTGTTGGACATGTTGCCCAGGGGACGCAAATTCAAACCTTTAGTTTCTGAATTTGGTCAATATGAAAAGTGGGCCGTACCCAGACCTAATGGCCCTTCAGATGATTTATTTCTGAAATCGCTCCCAAAAGGAACCAAAATCATCCATCGACTTTTTCACCAGGGAGTTTTTCGGGTCGATGATGGTTGCGATGTAAAACAACATGATGCATGCAACGGTGAACACTCTGCACATGAAATATTGACTATTGGAGCGCCGAGAGAAGCAGTGGATTTCTTGAGCCGCGCAGTGCAAGTGGGACACTCTCGTGCAATTTCAATACATTTGTCAGATTGTGTCAAAGATGTGTTGCGGAAAATTTTTTCTGGGAGCGATTATTTGCTTGCAAAAGAACGTGCCATTTTTTTGTGGAAGTGGAGCAAACGCGCCAAAGAACTGAACAGTGAGGAAATGGAGTTCCATAAAGGCCTTGCCCCTCACTTGCAGCATCTCCTCAAAGGGAAGCGCTTGCTGCTGTTAAAAGAAGTTTTGGAGGACTTGGGCTATCCAGACCATAGCCTTGTCGATGAGATATCCAATGGCTTCACGTTGCACGGATGGATGACTGAGTCAAATGTTTTTCCAAAGGAGACCAAGAGACCTGAGTATACAGTCGACATGGTCAGAAATATGGCCAAAGGTTTGAACCAGATGGTCTTTGGGCAAGTCAATGCCACTGCGGATGATGAGCTGGCGCGTACAACATGGGAAAGCACTTTGGAGGAAATTGAAAAACAGTGGGTGTGGCGCGATGTCACCAGTGACATGGACGAAGTTATCTTAGCCAAACGTTTTGGCTTGCAGCAGAAGACCAAAGTGCGAGTCATAGACGATTGCACTATTGGTGGCTACAACAAGGCCTATGGGACGAAAGAGAAACTGCGTGTCCATGCAATCGATCAGTTAGCTGCTTACTTGAGCTGGCTATGCACTGACCTGGGCGATGACATTGACGATGACATCGTTGGCAGAACATACGATTTGCGAAGCGCTTACAAGCAGTTTGGAGTGAGCGTTGAGACCAGGGATTTACTTCGGCTTTTGGTTTGGGATAGCGACCAACACAAACCCTGTTTGCTGGGCATCAATGCATTGCCCTTTGGGGCGTCTGGATCTGTCAGTGCGTTTTTACGCATCAGCATGGCATTGTGGTTTGTTGGGACTGTAGGACTCAAACTTTGTTGGACAGTTTTCTATGATGATTTTACGGTTATTTGCAAGCGTCGCTTGAGCCACGGGACAAGCATAGCTGCAGAGGCACTTTTCGATTTGTTTGGCATGTGGTATGCCAGGGAAGGCTCCAAAGCAGTCGAATTTGGCGAACAGGTAAAGACCCTAGGTTTGTTGGTTGAGCTTGGCAGTGTGCGAAAGGGTTTTACAATCGGACACACTCAAGAGCGCCGTGAGGAGCTAAGGGCTGCACTTACGGAAGTCTTAGAAACCAAAAAGTTGGAACCCAAACAAGCTGAGCGTGTTTGAGAGGACGCATGCAATGGTTTGAAGGGTATGCTTTTGGCCGTGTAGCTCAGCACAGCTTACGGACCCTTGGGGAGATTGCTTTGAAAAAACAGAAGGTGGTCGATTTAGCACCCCACGAGCTTACAGCCATTGACTTTTTGGCGAGGAGAGTCTCAGAAGCTGAAGCTCTTAAGCTGAGTCCGGTGTCGTTAGACACCTTGCTTGTTTTTACTGACGGAGCTTGCGAAGGCGAGAGCGATCGGTTTGGAAGCATCGGGGGTGTCATTGTTGACAAAGCTGGACGGTGCTACCAACATTTTTCGTGTGAAGTTCCCACCGACTTCATGCGTGTTGCGCTCAGCGAATCTTCCAACCCAATTTATGAACTTGAGCTCCTTCCCATATATGTTGCAATTTGCATATGGGGACAACTGATGCAGTCGGCCCATGTTGTTTTTTTACCTGGACAACGATGCTGCCAGGGCAGCCTTGTGCAAAGGCTACGGAGGCACCAGACTTGGGCAAAGCATAGTGCAACATGTCATGGAGGACGAAAGCAGGTTGAGGCTGAAGTCTTGGTACGCCCGGGTACCTAGTCACTCAAATATATCCGACGGTCCTAGCCGTATGGATTGCACTGAAGTGAGACAGTTGGGATCGACGGAAGTGAAGGCAGACTGGGACTTCATCCTAGAGAGCCTTCTCTAATG